AGGATCATGAGTTCAAAATGAGCCTGAGCAAAAAGCGAGTTGCTAAGCAACTCAGTGTGACCCTTCCTCTAAATAAAATATAAAATAGGCCTGGGGGTGTGGCTCAATCGTCGGGTGCCCCTGAACTCAATCTCTGTACAAAAAAAAAAAAAAAGCTCTGTATTTTTAACTATTTTATCTAATGGAACATCCTTGTGATATTATGAAAATGTATCACTAAGCTTAGCCGACCTCTTCCCTACATCAATCTTAAAGCTACAAATTCTACAAGATAATTTCTGAAAACTATAAAGCAGGTCTCCTTGCCTGCCTACATAAGGACTCCAGTGAAGAATTTGGTAAACCTACAGATTCATGGTCTTTGTTCCATGGGCATAAATGTTCATCAAAGCACTTCCATGGTGGAACATGTTATGAACAGTAACATGAATCTGTGTATTATCAAGGCCATGATAAAACTAATAAACTAATTTCTTAGTTTGCCTCAGAATAAAATAATTTCTTATTTCCCTAATAGCTACGTTATCATTTTATGTCACCACTCTCTCAATATTTCTCTTGTGAAACAATGAGGAGCCCTATGTAGTGAGGACTGGCTTGGGACACCTGCCTGGATGATAACAGCACAAGCATGAGTTGCCACAGTCCAGTAGCGAAGCCGATGGACATTATAACCCAGCATAGGTCAGGATATGCACATAGGGAGCAACTCTCCTGGAGCTGGCTACTGTTTCCAAATTTGGGGATGAAGGTACCCCAGAGGGAACCTGCAACCTTCACTCTCTACTTGCCTTCTCGCACATGCTATGATTCCCAGTTGGCACTGGCCCTGAGATAGAAACTCCTCCTGGGGTCGCCTCCAACAGGAGGGGAGGAATAGGATGCAGAGAACTTCAGACACTGGGATTGCAGATTAGCTGGAAGGTACCCTTTCTTTTTTCCTTAGTGCATGATACTTACACGTAATGCTGTGATGTTATAAGGCAGTCAAACATGCACAAAGTAGAACACTATAACTTTGCCATTACCCTCCCAGCATCTCTTCTTTTTCCTTATTCTTCCCTCCTCCTTGTGCCTGGTCCCTTCCTCTACTGATCTCCCTTTGATTGTTATAAGAGCTCCCTCTATACATTTCCTTTCTTTGTAGCTTCCACACATGAGGGAAAACATGAACCTTGACTTTCTGAGTTGACTTTTTTCACTTCATATATATTCTCCTGTTCCATAGATTCTCCTATAAGTAACAATTTCATCCTTCTTTATGACTGAATGAGCTTCTATTGTGGATTTACCCCACATTTTCTTATCCATACATCTACTGGTACACATGGAGGCCAGTTCCATATTTTAAGTTGTGCTCCTTTAAATCTGGCCATTCATCTATCACTATAATATCCTAACTTCAATATTTTATGTTAAATACCAAGCGATGATATAGTTGTATTATGTGGTTTTTCAATCTTAGTGTTTTGAGGAACTTCCTACTGGTTTCCACAGTTACAATCCCTCCAAGGGTGTGAATGTATCAATTTTATTCCACAATATCTCCAGCATTTATTATTGTTTGTATTCAAATGACTGCCATTCTAAACAAAGTGAGATGAAATGTAGTGTAGTTTTGGTTTTCATTTCCCTATTTCCTAAAGATGGTAAATTTATCATTATATATATATATATATATATGTGTGTGTGTGTGTGTGTGTGTATTATATATCTGTATACATATATTTTTTCTCATTATATATGTATGTGTGTTTGTGTGTATATATATATATATATATATATATATATATAATATATATATATATATATATATATAGAGAGAGAGAGAGAGAGAGAGAGAGAGAGACATACATATATATGGTCAAATGTATTTCTTCTTTTAATAAGTGTTTACTTAATTCAATTCTTTATTAATTGGGTTATTTTTTATTATAAGATGCTGGAGTTCTTTATGCATACTGGATACTACTATTCTCTCAGAAAATTTATTCTCTTCCTATAGGTTATCCACATTTTTGTTTACTTTGCCTTGCAGAAAATTCTGAATTTGATGTCATCCCATTTATTAATTCTTCAAGTTAGTTCTCAACCTTCAGGAATTCTCCTGAGAAAATTGTTGCTTGCAACCATGTTGCAGTGTTGACTGTTTTCTCCTAGGAATTCATAGCTTATCATCTAATTCATAGCCCTTTGATCCATGAATTGAATTTTGTGCAAGGTGAGGGACAGGGATTCAGTCTCATTCTTCTACAAATGGATAACAAGTTTTCCCAGCACATTTTGTTTTTTTTTTAAATAAAGGCTGTTCTTTCTCTAATATATTTTTGGCACACTTGTCTAGGATCAAATGACAATCTGTGTGGGTTTAACTCTTTGAATTCTATTGTAATCTATTGTCTGTTTTTCTGATTGAACATGTTCATGTTTTAGGAACACAATATTCTCAAATTTCAGAGACTTATTTACAAATTTGTAAATTTAAGAATTATTATTCTTTAGTAGTTAGCTCTTTCAAACTTTAGGATTCATTTTCATATTAATAAAATACTTAAATGTGGATTAAATTAATCATGTGACCATATAGCATATTTAGTCAATCAACATAAATTTCTCATTGCTCATCCCCTAATGCAATTTCTGATTACAGTACTCTGCCTCTGAATACATAGGAAGGAAGTTAGTATATTATGCAGATTCCACAGTATGAGCAGTTAGAATTCAGGAATTGAATGTATCTTGCCTTCTGGGACACTCTTCCCCATTCCCTTAACCTCAGTGACCACACCAGGAAACTGAAAACACAAGGTCAAATATGTGAATAATATTCATGCCTTCCCTCCACCTACCCTCCAGATGTGAGAATGTCAACAATTTTCCTCCAATACCTCATCCCAATATTTTTCTCAATTATCCTTTGGGGATTAATTGAAAATAAGAACAGAGACATTTACTCTAATGTGGCCTTAAGAGACAAATCCTTTAAAGACTCCATCCCATTGTACTGGACCCTGGTCCAGGGAGGGACATGGTCAATGGGTTCTCTCTCCATCTCTTTCCACTTCCCATTCTGCTGCCTCTTACTTTTGCCTTCCCACACTTCTCCATCTCCAAGAGACAGACAGTTTGGCCTGTCATCTCATGGGATTGCTTTTCATTCTTCTACATCCACATTCTACATGTATTCTTGAGATTTACAATGAACAAAGAGGGGTGGGGAAGAACTGGGGAAGACCAACTGAAGAACATCCTGTACCTGATACCAGGGGATCATCACACTTGTTGAGCTGGACGCATAACATGTAGTATTTAAGGGTCTTGGTGAGCCAGACCCTAATAACAACTTCATTTGTTATTAGGTTGCTAGAACAGCCCATTACCCATAACTACTCTTCTCTCTACATAAAGTGCTTCTGAAAATTTTGGGGTAATTATTCATGCAAACTTGCAGGTTGCACAGGAAATATCTTCATCTGATCCCCGATAGTGGTCATGTTTTGTGTGGTTAAATGAAAGAGTTTAGCTGTCCAATAACCCACAATGGAAGCCACCAACTCAATCTTCAGGAAATGCACAAAATGCAGTGTCATTTTCTCCAAGGTCATCAAACCTTATTCTCATGAGAACTTTGCAATGCTGGTAGACAGCAGTGCTAAGGAAAACCCACACGCTGCCTAGGGATTTTGCCCTCAGAACACTTGAGGTAGTAGCCTCTCTCGTGTTTTCTTAGAAGCTAGCATCATTGTTTTCTCTTCCTTTACTAATCAGTACCTGGACCATGAGGCACCAAAGATGTGAACCCCATCACAAGCGCACAGTACAGTATCAAGGGAAGCAGCATCACAGAAAATAGAAAGACCACAACTACGGTCTGCACAATAAAACCTGCGAGGTAACTAGTGATATACTTAATTCATATTCTCTCTCTTCTTCCCAGCTGCCATGAGATAAGTAGGTCTACCCCGCTTCACCATTCCATCCCATGTTCTGCTTGACCTCGGGGCTAAAGCAAGGCAATCAGCCCATGATGGACTGAATGTTATAAAACCATGAGCCAAAATAAATCTTCCCTCCCTTCGGTTGAATTTTCTCTGGTATTTTCATCAGTGCAATGGAAATCTGACACAAAAATCAAACTGGAATTTATGAAAACTCTATCAGATTTCTCGTTCAGTTTCTCACCCTGTGCAATTGTTCTTCAAAGGACCTGAAAATATTGAACATTTTCACACATTTCTTTGCTCCATTACCTTTCATGTATAGGAGGTAAATATCAGATATTTAGAGCGTTTCTTTTCCACTATGAGTGAAATGGCTTTTAAAGCAACTGGGAGCACTGATTTACCATATTTTTAATGTTCAGAGTTTCTGTAGTGTGAATACTTTCATGTATTTGAAGATGACCAGGAAAGGTGAATGATTTGTGACAATTATTGCATTCAAAGGGCATTTCTACATTACCATTTATTTAATACTTATTAGGAGTAAGGAAAGAAGGTATTTCTGATTGTTTATACTAGTATAGCTTTGTTATATTAGTATAGCTTTGTTCCTATGTGAGTTATTTCATGTCGTAACTGCCACAAATAAAGGCTTTTCTACATTGTTTATACTTGAAGGGCTTCTAACCAGCATTTGTTCTTGTATTTGAAGGTAGGAAGATCAATTGAAGGCTTTCACATATTGTTGACATTCATAAGGCCTCTATCCAGTGTGAATTTATGATTGGAATCTGATAAGAATACATGAAACCTTTCCTTCATTGCTTATATTTATAAGGTTTCTTTGTAGTATGTGTGCATTTATACACTTGAAGGTGAGTGGAAATCTTGAATGTTTTTCCAGATTGTTTACATTCATACAATCTCTCTCCAGTGTGTGTTCCCTAGTGTTTTTCAAAATGAATTGGAATAAGGAAAGGTTGTACCACATTGTTTACATTCCTGAGGCCTCTTCCCAGTATGAGTTCATTCACAACATGAAAATAAGCACAATCAGTGAAGGATTTAACACACCATTTACATTCATAGGGTCGTCCCCTGTATAAATATTTTTATGTACACAAAGCCCAAAGGTATAAGTGAAGGCTTTCCCACATTGTTTACATCCATAAAGTTTTTCCCCAGTATGAGATTTTTCATATCTTTCATAATAAGTCAAACTAGTGAAGGCTTTACCAAGGTCATCAATTTCCACTTATAGGGCCTTTCTCCACAGAGATAGTTCATGTATTCAAAGGAAAAGGGAAAAAAATGAAAATTTTACCATACTATTTACATTGATACGGCTTATCTCCAGTGTGAGGCTTTTCATGCACAGGAAGATAAGTGGAACAACTGAAGGCTTTACCAGATTGTTTACCCACATTGGCCTTCTTTCCTCTATGAGTTCGTTCATGTGAGTGAAGGTGACTGGACTGGGTAAAGGCTTTGCCACACTGCTTACAGTCATAGGGCTTCTCTCCAGTATGAGTCCTTTCATGTATTTTAAGGCAAGTAGAACCACTGTAGGCTTTTCCACATTGTTTACATTCATAGGGCTTTCTTCCTGTATGAGTTCGTTCATGTGAGTGAAGGTTACCAGATGTAGCAAAGGCTTTACCACACTGTTTACATTCATAGGGCTTCTCTCCAGTATGAGTTCGTTCATGCACTTTAAGGGGACTAGAAAAAGTGAAGGCTTTTCCACATTGTTTACATTTATAGGGCTTCTCTCCAGTATGAGTTCGTTCATGTATTTGAAGGTAAGAAAAACTACAGAGGGATTTCCCACATTGTTTACATTCATAGGGCTTCTTTACTGCATGAGTTCTTTTATGTATTTGAAGGTGACTGGACTGAGTGAAGGCTTTGCCACACTGCTTACATTCATAGGGCTTCAATCCAGTATGAGTTCTTTTATGTATCTGAAGGTAAGATGAAGTAGTGTAGGCTTTACCACATTGTTTACATTCATTGAGCTCTCCTGTATGAGTTCGTTTATGAATCTGAAGATAAGAAGAACTAGTGAAGGCTTTTCCACATTGTTTACATTCATATAGCTTCTTTCCTCTATGTGTTTGTTCTTGTGTGTATAGCTTAGAGGATATAAAAAAGGCTTTCCCACCTTGTTCACATGGATTAGGGTTCTCTCCAGCATAAGTTTGTTCATGTTTTTGAAGGGAACTGGAACAACTGAAGGCTTTTCCACATTGTTTACAACTCATAATCTCCTCATTATGAGATTCTTCACGTACTTTAAGATTAGCCACACTAATGAATGCATTTCCACATTGTTTACATCTGTAAGCCGTCTCTCCAGTGTGAGTTTGTACATGTAACTGAAGATAATTTGAAGTACTGAAGGCTTTCCCACATTGCTTGCCTCCATATATCTTCTCTCTAGTATGAGATCGTCGAGATTTTTCAATACACCTGGAACAAATAAACTCTTTTCCACATGTCAAACATCCATACGATCCATTTACAGTGCACTCTGACACGTGTCTTTGAACATTTGTGAGAGAAATAAAGGATTTTTTGTTCTGTTTAAATTCATATGGCTTTCCTCCACACTCCTCATCCTCATGTGGTTTGTTTGCAGAGAGAGATATGATGTGCCTGTTTAGGAAAACATTATATATGAAGACCTGTACACACATACTGCTTTCACATGGAATTTCTAGCAGGAATGTCCTTTTAAGGCTAAGATTTGGAATCTCCCTGAAACATCTTTTTAAATTTTTCCAGAGCCTACCATAAGATTCCTGTTTGAAAAAAAAAAAAAAAAAAAAAAAAACAACTACAAGTACAATTTATGGTTGGCTAATTAACAATATTATATTATATTTATTTATAGGAATTGGACTTACACTAATATCAGGGAAAGTACTGGTTTTCTGTCATGTCTAAACTGTTTGAAAGTCAATATCATGACTACTTTGTGAGACTGCTTCTCCATAGCTACTATGAAAACAGTGGTATTATGAATGCAGTTTCTTAGCTCTGTCAAAAAAATAAATTATTTTGAAACCACTAAATGTGTATCTTACATTAAAGTTCATGTTTTGGGTTTAAAAAGAATAAATATAGTTCATACCATGCTTGCTTACTTTCCTTGTTTGTAAAATTATAGGATATGCTAGGATTCCTTCAGGGCTCTCTGTTTCCTCTCATGAGTACAAGTTACCTTAGATCTATCCCAGGATTTGTGTTCTGATCTTCAGCACTTTGGTTCTCCCATCTGAATCCTAAAACGTACACCCAGAACAGTGATTAAAATTATCATAATTTCAGAATGGATTATGGGATTTATAATATGGATAACTAAAACATAAAAATAATAAAAGAGGAAAAAAAAAGAATTATGGTATTTATGCTGCACAGTGCACTGACATTAGGCCCCATTTTTTCCTAAAAGTACTTACTCCCTTTTCCACCTTCTAAATCCATGAGTGGGTGGGTGGGGGGACTCCCGGGTGCTCTGTCTTTCAATATGTAATGAAACATCATCCTTACCTATAGAAGCCAGGTTTCTAAGGACTTCCTGCATCACATCTCTGTAGAGATTCTTTTGGGAAGGATCCAGCAAAGCCCACTCCTCCTGGGTGAAGTTCACAGCCACATCTTCAAAGAACACTGAGGTCTAAAATATCATCAAAAAATAAATAAATAAATAAAGTAGTGCAGCATATAAATGAAAAAAATAAAGGTCTATCAACAATTTTTAAAAATTTTTAAAAAGGGGGGGTGCTGGGGCTGGGGCTCAGCAGTAGTGCATTACCTGGTATGTGTGAGGCACTGGGTTCGATTCTCAGCACCACATATAAATAAATAAAATAAAGATCTATCAATAGTTAAAAATAATAATAATAAAAATGTAGTGCAGGCCATGAGAGACTGAAAACATAAGGGCTCTATTCTAGACACGTGAGATGTTCTCATAATTCTATGGTCTCCAAGTATTTAGTCCATATTTGTACTCAGGGCTGGGACTGTAGCTCAGAGACAGAGTACTTGCCTAGCATTTGTGAGGTACTGGGTTCAAACCTTAGCACGGCACAAAAATAAACACATAAAATAAGGCATGCTATCTGTCTTCAACCAAAAAAAAAACAAAACTGCTTTCTGTCTACACTCACTTCCTCAAAGAGAGGCATTCCAATATAAGATCTAAACTGATCCATAAAAGTATCAGCAGAGCAAAAACACCCTTCTCATTGTGGGGCAAAGGTATAATAAGGTATGCTCCAAGAACACCCCTAACATCTTAATAGGGTGCATGTCTAACACCACCAGTAATAATGAAGCCCTACTATCTCATGTTGGAAGAGAGGTAGTATTAGTCCTGATAGTGTCTATGCTTACAAAAGGTTGCTGACAAAGTTGCATCTTTGCTGGATAGGGGAACTAAAAATTGGGGAAGGATCCCAGCAAACTGAATCTTTACTTTCCTTTGGAAATTCTATTATTTTGTTCCACTCTTATGTTAGAACCTAAAGAATCAAAGTCCTTCCCACCAAAACAGAACCCTCTGAGCAAAGAATCTAGGAACTGCCCTAGTAGACCACATTTCATCCAGGTACTCACAACATGGTAACTGGGGATTGAGCTCATCCTGTGTGACTACAGCAAAAGAATAAGTAGAATTTGTAGGTACTTTACTCAACATCAAATTTAACCAACTAGTAAGCAACAACAGTGATCAATAAACAATTTGATAATTTCTTCTGATTAATATCAAGATACAGTTGGATAAGTGTCAAATACCTTTACTGACATTTAACAAACAGAATTTCTAGTAATCACCAGAAAGTACTTTTCCAAGCCAAATGAAAATAAGAAATGTGTAACACCTATCCAACTGTGGTAGACAGCAGACTATTGGCTTTTCCAATATATAGTCATGTGCCACATGACTATGTTTTGGTCAAAGACATTTGGGGTTAATAATGGGCTACATATACATGGTTATCAGGAGTAAAGGGATAACTGATGTGTTTATAGTGATGGTGGTACAAACAAACATACTGCATGATCACCTTTGGTATCTTGTAACGAAAGATGTTGTGCAAGGCTGTACCTGGGAAGCATCGTCTCCACAGAGCCTAGGTCTGTAATAGGCTATTCCTTCTAGGACTGTGTAAACACACTTTGGTGTTTGTGCAATGGTGAGAAAGAAAATGAATTTTTAAGTTGATAATTTCTTCTGATTAATTATCTAATTATCTCTCTGCTAATCTTATGCTATTTCCAATAGTATATCTTAGATGTTCTTTATTTATAGTCTGGTGTCACTTAAACATTGTGACTATAAATAAAGAACATCTAAGATACACTATTGGAAACAGCATAGAATTACCAGAGCAATAAACAGAGAGAACAAAAGAAAAAAAAATCAGTGCCTTGGAATTCATATAGATGAGTAATAACATAACAGGTAAGGTATACAAGTGGAGACATTCACAAGCAATTCAGAAGATGAGTCAAGACAAACTGGTATCTAATTTTTAAAAAATGCATTACTTCCCTCCATTCCATAGACAAAATATAAATTCATTACAGATTCTGATGTGAAATACAAAACTAAAACACTTTCAGAAGCTTACAGGAAATATTTTCCTAGAGGAATAGGGAAAACATTTTCACATAACAAGAGTAAGCAATAATGAAGAATGATAAATTCAAACATTAAAATTAGAGGAATAAAAAGATGAAAACACCTGCAAGAGAGGAGACACCTGCAATATGCAACACAGAGAGTTAGGGTGCCGAGCAAGCGGCTCAGGGGGCTGAGGCAGGACAATCAAATGCAGGATCAAAGCCAGCCTCAGCAACGTAGGAAAGCCCCGAGCAAATGGGCAACAACCTGGCTCTAAATAAAATATTAGAAGAAGCTGGGGATGTGGCTCAGTGGTTAAGCGCCCCTAAGTTCAAACCCTGGTACAGAGAGAAAGAGAGACAGACAGAGAGAGAGAGAGACAGAGAGAGAGACAGGGACACGGAGAGATGGAGCACGTGCACACACACACACAGAGAGACAGACATACAGATACAGAGACACGGAGAGATGGAGCACGTGCACACACACACCAGGGCCCAGAGTGAGAATAATCAACATATGACTCAAATGGGAAATAGCCAGACTTGGGACAGAAGGTGAAAGCTGCCTATGGAGAAAGGACCACCTCTGGGTGAAGAGAAGCCCAGGAGAAGGCCAAGCAGATGAGCACTGTCACCCACTGCAGACCCAGCGCCCCTCAGTCAGGATGTGGGTAGTGGGGAGAGCGGGACGGCTGCCCCTCTAGTGGTATTTCCTCACACCTGAAATTTACCATGACCTGCAGCCCAGAGACTTTTTCTGTGTATTCTTAGGGGTCCTCACAAATTCACAACATCTTACCTCCTGAACTGCTGCCAGGCTCACACAGTCAAGATCACAAAAAACTGCCCTTTGCTGCCAGCGCAGGGAGGAAAAGGAGCCATTTCCAGCACACCCAGAGAACTCTATCTTCCTGAGCCTACATTCAAAGGAAACTACTTCTCCAAGGCTGAGTCACCCAAGACATTATCAGCAAAAACTTGTGGGGAAAAAGAAACACTGAGCCCAGCTCCCCCTAATCTTCCTGCCTAGGTCAGGGAGGAGGAAGGGCTGAGGCTCTTAGAAACAAAGCCATGAAATGATCTCGTAAGTAGAAAATTCTAAACTGTGCATGCGCTGAAGAAGAAAACGCAAATGCCTGGAACTAAAAAATAAAGCCAAGCTGTACACCACCACAATAAACACAACACACTTACATCCACTAAAACACGAGCAACCTGAAAGCCATCACAGAAGATCAAGAGTAAAAGTATTTAGAAATTACCAAGAAGACTTTACAAAAACCACAAAATACTTCTGAAAGAAATGACACACATAAAAATATCTAGCATTTGTGAGCTCAAAGAATTGTAAATCTGCCTAAAAATCAACCATGAGGTCAATTCACTGCCTTTCATAGTATCAATGACATTTTTATACAAAATAAGAAGTACTATTCTAAGATTCACGTGGAATTGAAAGAAACTCAACAATGGAAGAAGAAAAATAAAGTGTAAAGTGATTTCAAAACCTGCTTTAAAGGAGTAACAAAGGGAGTGTAGAACTAGTTTAAAGGCAGACACACAGAGCAGTGAAGGAGGACAGGGGGACCCAGGACCATGCAGATACACAGAAGGAAATGATGTCTCTCAAGGGGCCAGGGTCATTCCAGGGGACCAGGATCTCTGGAGAATGAATGGCTGGGAAACTGGATGTTCATGGCAGCACCTAAAGTCAGATGCTCCCCTCACATCACACGCATACATGAGATCCATGGGGACCAAAGTGCTGAAGTAAGATGTGAACCTCACCAATTCTTAGAAGAAAATGCAGACCACATGTCTCACAACACTGGATTTGGGGATGATTTCTGGGATATAGTAGCATCCATTTGATTCATGAAAATAATAGATAAACCTAATTTTACCAAAAATAGCTTTTAGTCCTTTCATTTGCAGCAACGAAGCCCGGACTATTGAATACTATCTTAAGTGAAATAAGCCAGGAAAAGAGAGAGAGACACCGACTGTGTGTTCTTATACAGCAAAGCTCCAAGTTGGCTTCACAGAAAGTACAAGGGTATTCACCAGAGATGAGGAGGAGAGAAGAGAGGGGACAGCAGGGCTGGGTGAGGAGGCTGGGTATCAGGTACCAGAGTCCATTCAGGAGGAGCCAGCACTTCTGCTCTCCAGCAGAGTAGGTGGCCATAGTGTACAACATGTCACTGTGGTTTTCATAATAAAGCTGGGGAGCAGTCCACTGACCCTAAGAAATGATAAATGTTAGGAATGATGCAATGAAACAGGTGTACAACCAGCTCACTGCACCTCATCCACATGTGCAACTTAAAAGTGAATCAGCATTAGAAAGGAAAATGTTGTCCTTCATAGGACACCGTCAGCAAGTGAAATGGCACTGGAAGGAATTGTAGAAAATACCTGCACATTGTGCATCTGGAAAGGAGCTGAAAACTTGAAAGAATGAAGAAAAACCAGCTGACAAAGCTCAACTCCTTCTGACATAAGGATGCAAACCTAACTGTAATAAAATGAAACACCTTAAAAAGTACCAGAGATCTACAAAACCTACACTGAAGGCTACAAAGAAGGATGAAAGGCTGTCTCCATGACAACAAAAACAAGTCAAGGATGCCTGCTCTCACCACTTCCAGACAACACAGCAAGAGGAGTGCTATGGGAAGCCAGGAAAAAAATCTTTGTGTTCCAGACTTCAGCCAACTTACGTAGCCCCAGACAGTGGGACAAAATCAAGGACTTCACCAAGCAGATGGAGGTGGGCATAGGCAACTCAGACTCAGACTATCACCTGCAGAGAGAGCAGCCACAGGCACCAAGATGGGAGGAAGACAGTACAACCTCTGCACCCTTTACTGAGGTTCTCCCCATCAACACTGACCACCTGACACAGTGCACATCTCATTTGCATTCCTGCGTCCTAGAGTGTCTACAGCAAGTGGACAAGGATATCGGATGGGGTTTTTTCAGATGCTGCTCCGACCAGAAAATCGGCTACATTGGTGTAGATGGATACCTCATAAATCCCAG